CGATTGCATCAGTTATCAGTTATATTTTTATGATCATTATATATATTTTTTAATCTTGTCTTGTGTTGTGTTCTGTGTACGCAAACGCTAAACAATCACTCTCGGCACTGTACACTTCCTACACCTTGGAAGGTGGTTTATAGTGGAGCCAAAGTGATTAGTACCGTGGTGGAAGCTGACAAGGCTGTTTGCTATGACAGACATTTTCAATTAAAAAGAGTAAATAGGCCCTGTGCTATCTGTCCTCTCTTCCAGAGATCAGTGCCAGTCCATCTTTCGGTAAATCTCCTCTCCCCTGACGTGGGCTGCATGCCCCCCCTCCCCTGCCCTCCTACGCCAATTCCCTGCCTCCTGCTTTCACAGCCTCGCAGAAGGAGATGCCATATTTACAGTTTGAACCTGTGTCTTCTCATCCGGTGTACTTTGTCATGATGGATGTAATGTAACATGGGTCTCTGTGATCTCCTCAGGTAATACATGGAGTCCTAAGGTTGCCTTGCTCCAGTACTGTTTACATAAGGACCTGCTCAGCCTAGCATGTGCTGTTAGCCTCTTGGGGCAAAATAAAGTGTGGATTCTATGATACCGACATTTACGGCCTTATCCAATTGCAGGGCCACTGGAATAATAATAATAATAATAATAATAATAATAATAATAATAATAATAATAATAGGTGACGCTTTACATTGACTGCACCTTCATAATGCTTTTATATTGCATTCATAAAACGTTCAGTGCACCTTCATAATGTATTCATTAAGTATTCATAAAATATTCATAAACATCATGTATGTATACCTTTACATCCTAACATCCCTTAACAGCTGTAATACACATTAATAACAAACATTGTATAATAATAACAAACATTAAAATTGTATAATCATGTAATGTTTGTTATTAATGTATAGTAAAGCTGTTAAGGGATGTTAGGATGTTAAGGTGTACTTGCATGCTGCTTATGAATGTTCTATGAATGCATTATGAAGGTGTACTGAATGTTCTATGAATGCATAATAAAGTGTTACCTAATATTAATGATACTGTAATAATACTTGGGAGTTTTTGGTTACCCCCCCTGCCATTGTCATCTGCTTCTTTTCTTCCATTTCTATGTCTTTCCTTCTCCGTTTCTCAATTATTCTGTGTAAATGATGCAGCAATGTATTACAACACGCCCATGTAAAGTTAATAACAGCAGCAACAATAATAATAATAATAAAAATAATAATAATAATAATAATAATACATGTTTTTGTTTTTAGTTGAATGATACTTTGTTCATCACTGTGGGGAAATTCCCTGTTCGCCTCGCCTACCCCGTCTTGCTCTCAGTGAGACACACACACAGATGACAGCGAGCTTGGGGGTCACAGCACATCGTCAACATGTAGCATCCCTGTAGCTGGGGGTTAAGGGCCTTGCTCAGGGGACCAAGTACATTTGACTGTTCTGCCAAGGCTGGGACTCAAACCGGCAACCTTCTGATCACCGGTACAGGTGAAAAATCCGTCAAGAAAGTGGAAGGAATCCTTCTTAGCTGCTTGGCGTTGCAGTCCTCTAGATTGACTGCTCTGGGCGCTCTGTGTATTGCTAGAGAACGTTGCAGTGAGTGGCTTAAGTGCTGAGACAAGCACAGGAAAGGAGCCAAATACCCGTCTCACACCCAAGACTCCCAGAATCAGTTCCTTTGTTTGCAGGCAATCATTAAATCCACCTTGGATGCTCGTCCTTAAAATACAGCAGCCATTGCCTGCAAATCTATTATTCGCCTGCTGGACAGATTAGCTATATTATCATTCTGTATAGTGCAATTAGAATCACATTTGATGACACAACTTAGTCTGCCATCCGTCTTGTTCAACACGAGGGCATAACACGAAGAGGAATTATGTCTCACGATCATATGGATAATAATTTAAGAAAGCAATAACGTGCATCGTAATTTATCATTCGCGTTTAAGGAATTAGGAGCCCAATCAGCCAATCATATTGCTAGTGAAGGAGGAGGATATGTTTATAGCGAGGAATGCCCCCAAAACAAAACAAAACAATACGACAATAAAATGGGAATTTCAAAGCAAACATGGCCTCCATGACCTTAACTGTTTCAAATAAATTTTGTAGTGTTTCTATTCCAGGCAGAGAATGCAGAGCTAAGTCCTGCAGATTTTCCTCAGCACTGTTCTCGTACTTTATTCCACCTACATCAAACAAAATAATGTATGTCACATGTGACTATAGATTAATATATAAATTGCCATTTCGTACTTAATATTCCAATAGTGAAGGATCTTCCTTATGAATAAAACCTGTCACCTAGCTTTCTGAAGAGGATAGAAGGGCTAGGCTTTCCTGTTAGGCCGTGGGGTGAGCTGCCTTCCTAAGCAGGCCGCCCCCTCCCTGTGATTCCTGCATTGACTCCAGACTTTCCATGACCGTTTACTAAAAAAGTCATAATGGATGAATGGGTGAATAACCCCCCAGAAAGAGTATCAGTTTTGCAAAGCTTTAGGCTCTTTCAACCTCATTGAAAACAAGCACGTTTTTCTTTCTAAAATACCCTTCACAGATACTGCATGACAGCATTGCCGTAAGTACGGTAGATCTGCCTTTTCGTAAAGAGCAGAAGTGATATGTTTGCCTATTATGCATTAATTTGGGCTGCCCCGTTGGGTCAGGAAGCGATTATCACCTTCAGCTGTTCCTTACACTGCATTAAATCTCACCCTGTTCCAAGACTCTGCATCTGATGCTCATCTCCTCAAGCAGTAGAAGCAGCCGCGCAGCAGCGCCCCCTTCTGTTAAGCCAATGTTGTTATTTTCTATTTTGTTTCATATCGTTTGCCACGCCTGACACGAATTTACCTTCATATTTTGAGGAACCATGCAAAGGCTTCTATTAGAGGAGGGGTTGTACTGAAGTTCAACTGTTATATATAGTATCGGTCAAAAGTTTGGACACGCCAAGACATCTACAGTGGAGAGTGATAGAGCGGCGCATCACATGACCTGGCCACCTGACCTAAACCCAGTAGAAATGGTTTTGAAGGACTTTGATCAGAGAGTGAAGGACAAGCGGCCAATGAGTGCTCAGCATATGTGGGACCTCCTTCAGGACAGCTGGAAAAGCATGAGGGCACCTCATGAAACTGGCATAGAGGAGACAGTAGGGGCAGCCAGTCCCTGGAGCGATTGGGATTAAGGGCCAGTGGTGGCATCACTCTGCCAACCAAGGGGTTTGAACCGACAACCTTCTGAGTCCCAACCCACTGATTTTTTTTTAAATACTTTATTGGTTATTGCATAATCCATATATGTTATTTTATAGTTTTGATGTCTTTGTAATTATTAAAAAATGTAGAGAATACTACAAATAAACCTTTCTATGGGTAGGTGCATCCAGACTTTTGACTGGTACTGTAGGTTAATTTCAACTCAAGATTTCTAGGTCTGAGCGAAGGTCTGACTATGCAGTACAGCCATCTTGGAACATTATACAGACTGTAGGCCAGGCCCAACCTTAGGAAAAACACAAAACATCAGCAAGAGTACAGAAATAATGTACAGGGATATGGGATGAGTGGCCAGTAAGTGTATTGGTTCTTTAGATTTGGACTATTGTAGGAAACTGCTTTTCACTATACTCTTCTATCTGACATCACATACTGTACAAGTATGTTTCCTCACGAAACAAACAGAAAAATGATAAAAACATGCATTTTTATAAAATCAGCGCACGCAGAGCACAAAACAAGCAGCCAGGCATGGGGTCTCTCTAGAGTCAAACATACACCTGTATTTACCTAGTGATTACCAAAAACAGCTGTGATTGCTAATTATCACCTCCCCCCCACCACCAACAAATTAATTAAACAATTTTACAGCTGAAAATGAAGCAATTGTAAAACGGTTTACATTTATTTCTCAGGGGTTTTATTTTTCCAAATAAATGATTAAGCCAGCAATGAATCAACAAATCGATGCACGGTCAACATTTTTAATTCTAATTGGCTGAGGACTTTGACACATACTGTTGAAGTGCTGCTATGATTGGGTGAGGTTAGTCCACGAATTAGAAGTAGCTGGATCTCCATGCCGAGTTCTCAGGCTCGTTGACATATAGGCCAGGTAATAAGGCAATATTTAGTACTAATATTCAGATTCTGGATCTCAAAGGTGCCATGACCCAGTTGCTCTGCTCTCTTGGCACGCCATGAGCTCTCAGAGGGCTGCAGGCCTCCCTTATGGCCCCGTCTTTAATACCGCACGCACAGTTTGCAGTGACAAGGTGACTGATGGTGTAAAAGCGGCTTGGGATGAAGTTGGCAGCTCCCGTGGCGGTAAAGCGAAGCGCTCCTGGGAATCCTCCGCGGCTCCCTGGCAGATTATCCGTCTCGCGCCTCGGCGTGGGCCCTGAGATCTGGGCTGTTGGTGGTGTGGCTTGCCTCTACGGCAGATTAATCCTGCTTCCAGACGGCCATCACTTCTCCGGAGAACAGACCGCCACTTGTTTTACTTACCGCTGCCCTTGAATTCCACTCCGATGATTTTCTTTGAAGGAGATTTTTTTTGGGGGGAAAAAATATCTAACCCAGTCCATCCCGGGAACACTGCTGACAGACAAATGGCTCTCCTTTATGATTTGGTCAGCTGGTTTCTGGAGTTTTCGTTGGAGTAGGTTCACAGTTGGATTTCAGCACACACGTATCTGACATCAGACTTTATGATCTCAGTTTCTACTTCGTACGATTGAATTATTACCCACAAATGTTAACTGTTGCATTTTCTTTCATATTATAATTTTACTCTAATTCAATATGAATCATCGCAATTTTTTTCACATGCTCAATTAGAAAAGTTTGCCATGAGTTCCTCAAGCTTCCTGTCCTTCATTTCAAGGACAGCTGCAATAAACCATTCAGTTTTAATTGAAGGATATGCTGGTGTATTGTCTATTATTTTCTTGTAATGTTTCACCTCTATTCATCTTGCAGGTCTCAGAGGACAGAATGTTCCACTGATTTTCACACCTTCAACCTCAAAGTAAGGCAACTTATCATGTGTCTAGTTTTTAGTGTTTTCCATCGCTGTTGGTCGTGGGAATTCCTGATCCATTGTTTGTTATCATGTCTGGTGCAAAGGGCAACCAAACAGCTGCAATATGCATGAGAACTGGAACCTGTGCAATAGTTGGTATACGGTATAGACTTCTTGGCCATGCCTATGGTTATGTTTGAAGGAAATCGTTGTCATTGCAGTTTTTTTTTTGTTCGTTTTATTGTTTGTAATATGCAGCTTCACTAAGGGCTTATGTTGCTTGCAGCATACAGTGTGTGTGTCACATTGCATTATGGGCACCAAATACCCTCACAATGTGATAAAAGCCTGTTATTTTGACGTTTCCGATCCCCACAAGGGGAAGCTCTGTTTTATACAAATCTGTAATCATTTAGTTTAGTTACCTATTACTTATGGTTAGGGCTGGGTAAGGGTTAAGGTTGTCCTATTTGGGATTAAGGTTTTGTCCATATAAATGAATGGAGAGTCCCCACAAAGATATGAGTACAAACCTGCATGTGTGTGTGTGTGTGTGTGTGTGTGAGGTTCAGGTATACATTGCATTATGGGGACAAAACCTGTTATTTTGACATTGTGGGGATCATTTTTTTTGGTTGCCACAAGGGGAAATTCAGTTTTATAAAAATCTGAGACTGCAATCAAAAAACTTCAAAAAATTAGCTCCAAAAGACTTGTCTTTTGTTTGGTTACTCATGGTTAAGGTTAGGGCTCGGTAGGAGTTAATGTCGTCTTTGTGGGAATTACGGTTTTGCCCATAGGAATGAATGGACGGTCCCCATAAAAACATGAGTACAGATCTGTGTGTGTGTGCTGGTGGCTGTATGCAGTAATAGCTTCTGCAGGCTAATTGCTCTTCATCAGTTTACTTAAATTTCATTCCCATACAACAGATTATATGTGATGGTTTGGGACAAGAGAAGTGGAATGTAAAAAAAAAGCTTTTAGATGATCCCCTTGTTTTTCCACAGTAATTCAGAAGAAATCATTTGAAATGTCCTATAAGTAACAATTTCCCTTGTAATAAAATAGAAGTAATTAAATTTTCGCAAATACAATAACAGCTACGCAGCTCGAAATTAACAGTCATCAGTAGTGAAGGGTTAAATACGGTAATTAGGGTTATGAATGGCCCTTAAATTACAGTTGTAGTAATTGTGTTGAGACAGCGGACAGTCATAAGGTTTATTGTTAGTGGGTTTGTCTTTCCTGTTTCGTCCTCATCAGGGTAATGAAATCTGTGAGTGTGGCAAAATTAAACAACGGAGTCAACTGTGAGTCGACCGGCGTCGAACAATGCCCCAGCATTCCATTCATCCCGACCTTCCGAGGAGGGAGTCTGCTCCACGTGCCGCATTTAATTAAGAGCACAGAACATTGCCCTGGGGTGATACGCGCTCTCATTTCCATCCTCTGTACCGACGCTCATCTGGCTTCCGAAAAACATTTCGGAAGGCAATCGGGTTAGAGCCACTCTGTAACGTGAGCGTTAGCAATAACCGCAGTATACTTCAGTGTTTCTCACCGAGAATGGCAGATGAAATTTTACAGGTTTAAGATGCAAACCACCAGGACTATGTAGCTAGATTTAATCTTCAAGAAATAGATGCAAACAGAAACAGTGTATGCACAGTGTTGTTTCACATGCACAGTTACTCACTCTTGTTTTGTTCTGTTTGTTTTGATCTGTTTTGCCAGCTCTGTCATTAATCACTGCTAACCTACTAGTTTCGTTCTGTACCAGAAAATGAAGGATGACAAACTCTGGGGATGAGGCTGATTTTTCTGAGCTATAGTTACAGCAAAGTGGTTTAATGTACATAACGTCACACTATATGGGAGAGTTGGCTGCCACAACTCAGGGGAGCAACAGGGGCAATAAAGACGTGGATGAATGGATGAACAACCAGCATTGTGGAGGACGATCTAAGGCTACATCATCTCTGTATTATAGCTAAGAACTGCTTATAGCTTCACAAATTAGGGGTTAATGCCACATTATTCTGGAAAATGGGGGAGAAACGCATTTTCTTTATTCCATACAGAATTTACTATTTTCGCCATCTCTCTTGCTCTTTGTAGACAAGGATGTTCTGTAGTCCTATACACACCACATACAACGAAGCTGAAATGCTAGAATAGGAAGCTAAGCCAAATGTTAGCAACCCAGAAACCCTCACATTCAAAACCATTGCAGGATTAGAGCATCTGTGCAGTTTCATTTCTGCGTTTAATCCATAGTGACTGAGTCTGCCAGCATAAGAAAATGCATTTGTCATTAGTGAGGGATTTTTGTTGTATACCCCCACCACCGAAACATAAATGTTATGACATATGTACCCCTAAAAGAATAACCATCATGACATACTCATTTCTAAAAGAATACCCATCACATCATGACATGCTCATGCCTAAAATGATAACCATCATGACATACTCATGCCTAAAAGAATAACCATCATGACATACTCATGCCTAAAAGAATAACCATCATGACATACTCATGCCTAAAAGAATAACCATCATGAAATACTCATGCCTGAATGGATAGCCATCATGAAATACTCATGCATGAAAGGATAACCACCATGACATGCTCATGCCTAAAATGATAACCATCATGACATACTCATGCATAAAAGAATAACCATCATGAAATACTCATGCCTGAATGGATAGCCATCATGACATAATCATGACTAACATGATAACCATCATGACATACTCATCCCTAAAAGAATAACCATCATGGCATAAACATCATGACATTTGCACCCTAAAAGAATGAACGTCATTACATACACACCATAAAGAATAAATGTCATGATATACACTCTTCTCAGGGTATAGACACCTCTAAACATACACCACAAATGTCTGACTTGTCTGCAGGATGGGATTTTTGCTGCTCATGCTGCTGTTATTGAGTGAGCCTGACAGTTTGAGCATTGAGTGTGTCCCTTTCTAAGGACACTCTTCCTCCCCATCGAGCAGAGAGCCAGAGTCAATCCACTCCCTCATGGGTTGCTGTTGTAGGCATGGAGTCACATGTCTGTTGGTGAAACAGTCGAGTCTTTTCAGGCCGAGCCACAGCCTGTGGGTGCCCAGGAACTTCTGCAGGAAATCAGCCCTGACGCAGCTGTGAATCTCGCTCCGCCACAGCTGGGATGGCTTTCCAACTGTATTGCGCGGTGCTCGCGGATCGCGTTCCACATTCCCCAGCCCGTACATCACTTGAAACGAGGTGTTAAGTGCTGTAGGTGTAGGTGCAGATCTACCGTAAATGTGTCAGTGTCGTGAAATGAGAATCTTACTCCATGGTCCAATTCTGAACCCTGTAAATGAGATGCCTCCAGTATAACTATTTACATAAGTAACTGTTGAGAATCTTTGCCTGAATCCAGTTAAATGGTTTCACTGAAGCTTGTAATACGTTTTTCTAATGTTGTCCAAGGAAACCCCCGGAATCTGCAGAAGGCAGGATGACATGCTTTTAGGCCAAATCTGCCCAATTGGCCCATCATTTTCTTTATAATTTTTATTTTATTTTTTCATTCTCAAAACATACAAAATAATTCTAATTTTATACCTAGAGATTAGAGATAAAAATCAACGGTTAAATGAGACTGAACTGGTACCTCTATTATGATTGCATTGTTTTACCAAATTAGCGTTTCAATTCTACAGATCTGTATCCTAGACTTGGCTAGGACACTATGCACCAGTGGTACTCTAATCACATTTACTAATTTAAAAGCTGACAGCTGTTCTCTTCCTGTGTTAAGTTCAAAGAAATGAGATAGTGTAGGTACTGCAGAGAATGAATTGAAATTGCAGTAATGCATGTTTTTCTTTTTGTTATCACCCAGCACAGAATGGCATTGATATTGCGCTGTGGAATATACAGAGGCCTACGATATCTGTAAATAATAACTCGTGCCACAGCCATCACGTATAAGAATCTGCAGGAAGGATTGCAGTGCATATTCTCACTGTACAGTGTGTTACAGTCCATTCAGTTAAATGAAATATATTTTCTCCCAGAATCCCATAGTGTGTGACCCCTTTTCTTAATAAGGTCAACTGTAACACGTCAGACCCACTGCGGCGAGTCCACATAAAATACGGCCGTTCGGTGTGGTAGCCTGCTGCCTCTCTGTCAGCCGGGCCTGTCCGTGACTAATACGTTTTACATGTGCTTGAATTAAAGAGTATTTATGCACTCCAGGAAATGCTCTTCCCTTCTGTGTCGGCGCATCACGCTGCGTCTTAGAGTCCTTTACAAGTGCAACGCGGAATGCGATTTGGCTTCGGATTAAAAACGGGAACACGGGCCGCATAAAGCGCTCTCTTTGTCTGGGGTGTCGTTGACAAGCAGTCGTACGTAAGTGTTGTTCTGACAGCACAGGCCCCGAATAGCCCTCCCCACCTTTGTCTGTGGTGGTTTATTCCAGCATGCCGGTGATTTAAATAACTTCCTGCAATAAGAGCGCTGTCTCTTTAAGGCAATAATGTCTGAGATTAGAAGACAGGCAGTGAAAAGGTCTCTCTTTACAGAAACCACCAGTCCCACGAAAAAAGGAAAATCTGAATACCGAATTTGAATAAATAAAATACACAGGAAAGTGCTTATTTCATTTGAATGAAAAGAAATTCCGCGTAATCCTTAGTATCACAGTCGTCCTAATTTTGTTTGAAATGCACTTCAACACTCGTGGTGACTAGTGGACTAGTGGATGTTGACTAATTACAGCTGTCATCCATTGTGGGACTGACATTATACTCAAAATATTCCTTTTTTAACAAAAGGGTTGGTATGTTGACTCGTTTGCAACATGGACACAAGAAGCAGCTCAGAAGTAACATTCCAGAAAAACTTTGCTCATACATGGAAAATTGTAACAGTGTATTTTCCAAAGAAGTGATTGTATTATCACCCACAATGCCGTTGGCCTACCTTATGAAAC